AAATAACTGTATAAATGTATTTGTTGTTTCAGTATTAATTCTGAACTGGAATACGCCAGGAGGTCTAATCCATTACTGCCGAAACGTGACGTTTTTATAAAATTTCCTGCATGCTTTCTTAGTTCCAGACCTTTCTGTATACCGCCATTTGTAATTCTTTCCTCGGCTTTTAAGATTAGGCTGTCTGACCTATTGCAATTCAAAATTAATTATGACAAATATGAATCCATATACGTAATAGCAATTGACAATGTTGGTCTTCTGGGTTGTCACGCCATGTGGACATGTAGGTAGCTACAAACGTTTTAAAGAAACATGCAGTATGTTTTTTTTCTTCTTCGAAATTGCCGAACTTCGTATCTGCCTATATGCGCACCGGCTTTACAACTCAGAAGACCTAGATCGATACCTTGATCGACGTGGAAAACTCACATATTTGACAGGAACTTTTTGTAAGTGATTGGCTCACGTGTAATTACTAATTACTTTTTCGCAATTTTCTGTTACGTTCTGTTCAAATAAAAATTATGTTTAAGAGAAGCATTCTTCACATGTTCTTCCCAGAACGTATACCATACGGTTTATATTAAAGGAAGGAGATAAATTTATTTTCACTCTGCCACGTAATTACTAGGGGACACATTTCCACATAGCAGTGCAGTTCTTATATGAAGGTCTCAAGGCTCACATAAGCACAGACATTTATTAACGATTAAAGCTAGTAGGAGTCCTAGGGTTAGCAGCAGGGAACGCAATAATAAATAAACTGGCCATGTATCATATTTAGCGACCTGCGACTAAGTCATGTTTTATTATATCTGTTCTGCGCTTGCTAGTGAGAGTCAGGGAGTTACAGTTTGCATGCTCGGCTCTGGATCGGTGGCACTCAAACTCCTGTATTGAAACTTACTACTAGATCTTAAGAGTCGAGCTGGCTTATGTCCAGCATCCATTACTTTAAGACATCACGTGTGTTTTCATTCATTCTAATATTCAAATATCTCACGCAAACACAGTGGATAGCATGACATAAGTAACATGTGCTTGTTTTTATAACCCTGAGGATGGAGGTAGCAAGCACGGCTGAAACGACTTTAAAATTGTATCAGACTACGCGGCGCAACACCCTAGAAGACAGTCACTTTTACGTGTTTCTCTGCTGAACAATTTTAGAGAAACGTAAAATTTGGTTTTGTTTTCCAGCACTTCTGGATGCAGGGTGCTAGAAAAGTCCACCGCCTTCTTTTTTCTGCGACATGCAAAATACACATGACTTTAATATTGCTGATCGTTAGAGAGGGTATGAATGTTGTTCTAACCCCGGGGTCTGTGCCAGGATTTGTAGATGGGAACGAACAATCTGCAAGGCAGAGAGGGTTTTCCTGGCACGACGCATCGGAATTAGTGACTAATCTCCTTCACCGCTGTATGTGTAAAGAACCTTTATCATGTGGTCCAGAGGACTTAGGACCCCTACCAGCAAATGCTGCACCAACCGCGGTTATTGGACTGTTATTCTGCTCACTGTGATGACAGTCAGCTAGAAAGGTAAGTTCAAGTAACTTTACAATGTCTGACTCCAAACGAGTGTCAGAATAATCGCGCAGTGGTAACATGACAGAAAGTTCAGATCTGATATGTTTAAATATTACAATTTAAACATAACATGACCTCGAAATGTAGTAATTTTTAATTCGAAGCTTGTTTTTTTACGTAAAGCGAGGTAAATAATTTTGATGGCACGTTAGAATTCAAACCAGTGACATTTTCCTGGGGGTTTTCATTGTACACTCACGACAGCGTAGTATATAAAATCTATATAGGTCTATGTTTTATGGCATTTGTTCAGAAATATTCAACAGTCAAATTCCGAAATTTCATCAGTTGTTACTAACCAACTGACCAATTGATTCTGCAAGCAGTATGTCAGACTTCTCCCTTACGTTCACCTCTGTACATCTAAATGTCTTCCTGAGCACTTTGTTTTCAAATATTTGAAATATATGCTGTTCCATAAAAGCGAAAAGAGTAACGATTAATTAATGAATCTAAATGTCTGTAGATCTGTTGAAACAGATACCGAATAACCAGTATGTATGTTGTATATTTTTTATGGAGAGTAATGTGCACGAGATATGGTGCATTCCATGATTTTGATATCTGTAAATATGATTT